GCTTTATCCACTGTGCCTCCTAGCTGACCCAAAGAGAAGGGGTGCTCTTTTCAAGAATCCCCTTTGCCATGAGGAGGAGGCTTCATCTTTGGGTCAACTTCACATCCAGGCAAACATCTAGGACAGCTATATGTCTATACCACACAGCTCCCTTCTAAAGAGTTAATTCCTCCTGCTGAGTTTGAAGGCTATGTGGATAAAGTCAGTGGTTAGAGTACCATACTTACAGTGAAGAACACGTGAGCAAATCATGCCTCAGGCACTTACCAGCTGGGCAAGTAACTTCGCTTCTCTGTGACTCAGTTTCCTCTCTGTAAAATGGGGAGTAAAGACTCAGACAGCCTCCTGGGTAACTTTTAGCTCTAAATCTATGGCCCTAAGGATAACAACGTTTGTGAAACCTCCAAAATCTAATGCAATTAGAAAAGGGAGATAGTTTTGTTAGAAGACAAACAACTTTCACAGAAATAACTTACTGCACCTGCAACAGTAATCCTCTGAGACCTCCCTTACCTGTTGCAATAAATTGAGCAGATCTTCTTTGCAGATTTGGTTTAAATGCACTGGAAGCGCACAGCTCTCATTTCATCATCAATACATGTGTTCAGTTTCAACCAAGCTGTTCCCTAATAATATTGATTTTTTTTTTAAGAGCTGAGATGACTGCACTGGGAAAACATCCAAGTAATACGGAGATAGGGGTGTTTGGAGGCTGGAGAACGAAATGGGTAAATTTGCTGATTTATCATTCCAAAAAGTACCTACTGCCAGGTACCACTCTCTCAGGGACTGGCCTTAGAGGAGGAGAGGATTTAATCTTTGACTACATGATGGTTGAACCATGCTATGGAACCCCATGCCTGGGGGGCTCTCAAAACAATCTATTGGCACAAGTTCTTCTCTCAAGGACCTACAGATGTCAGTCCAGATGGCTGGAAATTTTTTTTTTCTGTGGCCCTCAAATATCTCCCCTGGCTCTCAGGCACTGGGAACAATTTGACAATTTGATTACCTGAGAACAATATAATGTCTACTTGGAACACTGTTCCCTCCTGCTATACTTTTTCAGAAAGCTGCTGGTGCTGCTTTGTTGTTTTTTTTCTTCCCCTAAATGTGTTTCACTAATGCCTTTTGTTTCTAGATGTAGCCCTGATACCCCATACCCACACTCACCTCTGTTCCAGAATTAAACCCTTCCTTATAGCAATGAAAACCAGTTAAATGATAGAGTGACTATTTCTGGCAATGTATGCAAGAGTCCATCCTCATCATACCCCATCTCTCTTCTGAGAACAGGGAAATATTTTTCATTATCTGTTCTTTCTGATGTACTTATTACAGACTCAAAATATAGGCAATGTCAGCCCTTAGTGAAAGGCTAAGACTGCTCAGATATTCACTCTTGGACATCCGTGGTTTTTTTTTCCCTAAATTTCAGCTCTTACAGTCCCTAAATCCAGTTCCGTGGGAGGGCTGATGGAGGGCACACCTAAGCCACTCTTTTGAGAAAGGGAACAAAGTCTTAATTTAATGTAGTCTTAATTTAAAATTATATCTGGTTGGTGAAACTGAAAAAAAAAAGTTAGTCCAATGGAAAAAGCTATATTACTATTCTGCCCTCCCAACTTACGGGAATCTCCCTTCCCTATTTCCAGCTTTCTGTCTTTCCATCCCCTTTGTCTTCTTGGCTCTTACCCCAGTGGGATGGCTTGCAAAATCTTTTTTGGGACATTGTCTCCTTTGAATTGAGGGATATGTGCCAAGCACTGAGCCTTCCTGATTCTGGGTGGGCCGATAACAGGCTGCCCCGGGGATGTGAATTTGAAGAAATTCCTTGGACACCACTGTGTTTCTATGAATAGATGGACACTTTTAGAAGCATCTATGGCCCCCAGCTCTGGTCATCTCCTTACTTTATGAACAAGACAAGCCTAGCGCCTGAAAGGTTGGGAGAGACCAGGGGAGGAGACATATAAGGCGACAAGCTTCCTTGTGTCAGGACCCAAGTTTGGTGACCCTAGAGAAAATGGCTTCTGGCACTGTCCATGAATCACAATGCTCCATTTATAAGCAGCAATTAATTTCAAGCAAAATTTGTGCATCCACCACTAACTGTCAGTTCAAGAGGTTGAAAGTTCAGCCCTGGGGGGGTCAGAATGCCTTCCAAGAATCCTGGCATCTGGGGTCAGATCTCCCCTCCCCATTGTTGTACCACTAGAAACAGGAAAGCCTTCTCCATCTAGGATGGTTACGTTCCAAGAACGGGGAGCCTTGCAAACTGGATGGCTCAGTGCAATGCAGGGTCACCACTGTGATGGGTATTGTGGTCATTAACATACCAGGCATACATACATACACTCATTGTGGACCTATTTGCTTCGACTCAATAGGAATTGTCTTTCCCTGACTTTGTTTAGAATAAATATAGCCATTTGTGAAGGGCTGAATAAGAGACAGTGATTTCAGTTAACATTAGAAAGTTCATCCAGTTTTCTTCCCATTTTGACATGACTTTGCAAAATTACAAAACCAGATGGGCGCCTCAAATGAACTGGCCTTTACCAAAGAAAAATGTGGAAATGGCTCTTCTGAGAGCCTAACAAAGGGTCTATTTTTGCCATTTTAGTCCAGAACCAGAAACAGGAAAAGGCTACAATTAACTAACTGAAGCACAATGGAAGGCTAATAAATAATGGAATAATTCTGACAAAGATGTTATAGCCTCACCGCACCACACAGGCAATGTTCTGGCTTACCCTGTGTGAAAATTCTTTCAAATTCTAGAGCTGGAAAATACACCTACTTCTCCCACAACAGTTAAAATATTCCCATTCTTTTGTCCCTTTAGCTCATTTGCCTTGGTACAACTGGTACAAAGGGCAATTAAGATTCTCATTTCCCTATTTGCTTTATGTAATGTCAGAAATGCGTGTTTGCCTTATTGTCTGTCTTGTGCCTATGTGACCCTGGGTAAGTCACTTAACTTCCCAGGGCCTCAGTTTCCTCATCTGTAAAATGGGGAGAGCATTGGTCGAAATGGCCCCTGAGGTCCAGTGCAGCTTTAGAGCTAGGACTTCACTAAACTTCTTTTGACTATTAATTTGTCATTAGAGAAGACTACCAACTATTCAGACTTCTAACACCAAAAGTAGTGCTTTCCTAAAAGCTTACTAACCAACAGGTAAATCTCTAAGTGGAGAAATCTTTCTGTTTTCTCTACTGCTTCTCCAAGACCAGGGGTTCTTAATCTTTTTTTTTTTTTGTGAGGCAGTTGGGGTTAAGTGGTTTGCTCAGAGTCACACAGCTAGTGAGTGTTATGGGTCTGAGGCAGGATTTGAACTCAGGTCCTTCTGACTCCAGGGCCAGCACTCTATCCACTGCACCACCTAGCTGCCCCCTTAATCTTTTTTTTTTAATGTGTTATGGATCCCTTTGGCAGTCTGATGCAGCTTATAGGCCTCTTCTTGGAACTATGTTTTTAAGTGCTCAAAATAAAATACAAAGGGTTTCAAAGGAAACCAAAGGCTAGTGAAAATCTAGAGGTATTTTTTTCTCAATAAGTTTTATTTATTTACTAATTTTAAAAAATTTTATATTATATAAATTAATTTATTTATCACTGATGGGGTCTGTCAACCCCGCTTAAGAGCTCTTGGTTTAGAATTACCTCCAAACCGCATGAATATGAATGTCAGGTCTGGTTTTTATGGTCTTTTAGTTCATATCAAAACAGATTCACCCTGGGACCAATTCCCTTGACACTAAGGTTGCTTTATGTCACCTAAGCCTCAGCAGCGAGGGCATAATCAGTGACTGGTACCCCAGTGAACCTCCAAATGATAGGACAAACTGCATTTTTGGAAGTCTATTTCAGGGTCTATAGACTGCCAAGGTCCAAAACGTTAGGTGTGAAATGGCCGAGTAACAAAACCAGGCATCCAAAGGGCTTCACTGCTATTTCCCCAAAGGGATGGGTTGGATTTCCCTTTTGAAGCCTTCATCCTCGTTAGATTCCAGGGCTTCCTCTGTGCCCCGCACCTTTGCCTACAATGTGCCACATGTAGTCCGCTACTCGGAGTGAAAAAACAACTGTTCTACCCTGAGTAAGGTCTCAACTGACAAATTGGAAAGTACAGTTGCCACATTATGGGGACACATTTGTGAATATCCAAAGTTCCATAAAGCAGATAATTTAGAAATACCATCTGTTTACTTTAACTTGGTTCTGGTTTGTGTGTAACTCAGGTTTTTATAGGTTGCACCAGATACTCTCATTAATTCACCCTCTTTCCCCTCAGTCCAGTCCTAGCTCTCAAAGCACCTTTTGTGCCTACAGCAGCAACATCCTTCTTGCCCCAAATTCCCTTCTTTCCAGATTAAAACTCTCTCACCATACCCTGAAATCTAGCTCAACTGTCTTTTTTAGATTCTGTGCATAAGCTTTCCCTACACTGGACCCTTCCTTTTCTATCACATGAGGGGTAGCTAGGTGGTGCAGTGGATAGAGCACCAAGTCTGGAATCAGAAAGACTTGAGGTCAAATCAGGACTCAGCCACTTACTAGCTGTGTGACCCTGAGAAAGTCACTCAAATTCTAATTTGCCTCAGTTGCCTCATCTGTAAAACAAGCTGGAGAAGGAAAGGGCAAATCACTCCAGTATCTTTGCCAAGAAAACCCCAAATGGGGTCATGAGTAGTCAGACACAACTGAAAACAACTGAACAACAACAATAAAACTAGGGTTGTTGTGATGACTACATAAGATAATATTTGTGAAGCACTTAGCACAGCACCTGGTACATAGTAAGCACTCCCTGAGTATTACTTATTGCTATATTAGTATCTCCTTCATGAAACCTTCGGGTAGCTCTCTAAGCAGAAGAATTCTCTACCTCCTATAGCATTTATCATGCTCTGTACTGCATTTTGTTTGTAAGCACATATTAGATCTCCAGGTCTAGATTATAAGTACAGAGCCTGCTTCTTTGTGTCCTCCGCAGCACCTAGCAAAGTGCCTTGATCAATGAAGATCCGTCGAAAGGAGAAATGAATGAACTAAGTAACCATCGGTTATCCGGAAAATTCATTTACCCAAATCAGCTTATTGCCTATCTGGCAATGAGGTGTCACTGTACACTGTTGATATAGAAGGCAGGACAGGCCCAGGGAGCTTCTGATGATCCAGCAGGATTCTGAGGACCATGAGATGTAGCTGAGGCTAAGCCTGGGGAACTGGAAAAAGGATAAAGAGTCTCTTCTGAGGGACAGAAGAGGGGATGGTGATTGCTTTGTAAGAAAAAAAAAAAGTAAATGGCAGTTAGCTTCCTGATTTAGGAAATGCCTCAAAAGAAGAGCATCTGGCTTCTCATAAATTTGAAGAGGAATAATCTTCAGCAAAAGGCTGTAGCATCTTCAGCTCCTCTAAAAACAGGTTAGTTTTTTACATCCTTTTCCTGGCAGCCAATAATTCCTTAGTGAGGAAGAAAAGACTGTGTTATTCTCTCCTGAGTCTTAACAGTTCTTTATTTTGGAGATCATTCAAAGCATTCGAAACCAAAAATGCTTTTTTTTTAAACTTGAGGATCATCTCCTTTCCACTTACAGTGTATCAGGTAGCTAGGAGTAGTCTTCTTTGTATGTGTTCACCAATAGTCTTTATAGGTACCTACAAAGTACTATCACCATCATCATTATTAGCATCATCTCATTCTATATTTTTATGGTGTTCAGATAGAAATAATTCTGGGGAATCAGTCTCTATCCTGCTATAGCAAGATACTTTTTAAAAATCAAAATTTTATTAAAGTTTATTAAAATTTTTTAAAGTGAATAATCAGAGCTTCAAATTTTTATTCTTTCATTATCATCTTGTGTAGGCTTACTTTTATTTTTGTGGGTTTTTTTAATAAACTTAGTAATTTTTCACATTTAAAAAATTTTGAGTTGTGAATTCTTTCCCTCCAATCCATCCCCCACACCTTGAGAAGGCAAGAAATATGATATCAATTATACATGTAAAATCATGCAAAACATATTTCCATATTAGCCGTGTTGCAAAAGAAAAAAAGGTAAGAAAAATAAAGAAAGGAGAAAAAATTAAACGTCAATTTACACTTAAAGTTCTCTAGTTATCTCAATGGGATTGGATAGCATTTTTCATCCTGAGTCCTTTGGAATTGCTTTGGATCATTGTATTGATCAGAGTAGCTAAGTCTTTCGCAATTGAGTATTGTTACAATATTGCTGTTAGTGTATACAATATTCTCCTGGTTCTGCTCACTTCACTTTTCATCATTTCATATAAGTCTTCCAAGCTTTTTCTGAAACCAAGCAGGATCTTTTGTACTTCATGTACTATGCACTATTACACAGGTGGCTAAAATAACTGCTTTTTATAGTTCAATCAATCAATAATCGTCCAATAAGTACATACTCTTTGCCAGGTTTATTAAAATAAAAAATGAAAAAATCCCAATATGGGAGAAATCACATGCCTATATAAGTATTTAAAGAATAAATACAAAATTAATCCAAGGTAGTTGTTGAATAAAATATTAGGATGCAAACATCTACTCTGTAGGCACACTGAAAGCATCCTTGGTATAACTTCAGACTGGACAACAGTGATGCTCTGTACCTCATTTTGGTCCTACATGACTGATTTCCTCTGCTATTTTGAAAGCTGTTCCGTATAGCTTGGAGTTCATGAATCTTTGACATAGCAACATCTATTAAATATGTTGTCCTTACATTTTTTATGGATCAGTGTTATGTCCAGGCAATTGTGGGCAACAATTTGATCTGTAATAATGGTTCAATTTCAGTACTTTTTGTCGCCTGGGTTCTCCAAGACAATCTGAATTCCGTATTTGTAGCATGGGGATTTCTTGTTTGTCAGTTCATTAAAGGGCACACTGCTGAGCATACAGCACAAAGATGTTAAAGACAGAAAGAAAGCAGTACTTTCTATTGTAGTAAATAACTGGAAATAAAGTAGATGCCCCTTGACTGGGGACTAGCAATACAGAAAGTATGGAACATGCATGGAATGGAACATTACTGAGCAATAGGAAATGATGAATATAAAGAATTTAGGGAAGCATGGGGAGTAAGTATGAATTGATGCACAACGAAGTAAACAGAATCAAGAAAATGCTATATGTGATAGCTACAATGATGTGAATGGAAACGACAACAAACACCCTGGAATTAAACATTGCATCATCATAATCACCAAACTTATCCCTGAAGAAAAGATGAGAAAATGCAGCTTCCACACTTCTTTGTGGAGCTGGGGGACTATGGGAGTAGAACATTATATATACTGTAAGATTCAGTTAATGGGTTTGTTAGTTTTGCTGAACTGATTTTTTTTCCTTTTGTTTATTTTTTGTTGCAAGAAATGGCTTTCTGGGTAGGGCAAAGAGGAGTGATGTATAGGAAAAGTAAGGTGATGTAAAAAAACCCCAAATAATATCAGTAAAAATGAAAAATTCTTTAAAAGATTATGCTAAAGTTCAAGTCAATGCGCTAATAATAGTAATTAGAGGAGATTTCTCAATGGGAGTGGAGAAGTGGGGTAGATTACAAACCAATTCTCACTTCAAAAGATAACTGAAATTATCACTGGCTACTCTTACCCAGATAGGGAATGAGATACTGGCAGGAACAAAGTCACTTTCCAACTAAATCAATGCATGAGGCCGGTTGTCAGATAAGCTCAAATCAGACCAAAGAACCATAAGAAAACCAGGTTGCTTTACTAAGTGGGTATAAGGTCCATCAGGGTTATATTCCAGCTGCTGCCGAAGTTTCATCTCTATCACTTACCTGCCAGACTTCAGTGCACTTAACATGAAAAGCCTCTCCCTAATGAAGTTTGGCTTCTAATTACCCTCCAGGCATTGATGCCCTACTCATCACAGAAGCAGCCTTACTTGTCATCTAATGACAATTGATAGCACCAGAGTGAAAAAGCAACAGTTGTAGGGTGGTTGGAATGGACAGCTGCAGCCTTGATTGGCAGAGCAAGAAAGTGAACCATTGACGAACAACGCAAATAAGACGCTCAAACTGAAGGGTTATGGGACAGGGTTTTCTCTGTGACCCTAAAGAGACTCAGGCATCTGCCCTTGGTTTCATGATCTGAAACAGCTAAAAAAAAAAATTTTTTTTTAAATTCAAAGAGATGTGAAAGCGAGGCAATACACAAAGGCAAGTCAGACTTAGACAAGTCAGACTTTCTTTGACATGTCAGGATTCCTGAAATGATACAGCATGATAGATCTAGAACGAGGTGCTGGGTTCCTAAATTACTTTTTTCCCATTGAAATTTAGTCACTTGCTCTGAGTCTCAGTGAGAGAGGGAGCCCAATCCGCTGATTTGGACCCCATAGACTCTTGCTTTTCAAAAAAACCCCCAAAACTATTGATCTTAGTGATTTACTGAAATGTTTTGCTGATTATCAGTGGTTTTTTTATTTAAATAAAGTTTTACGGTGGTCAATGGTTCAGCAAGTTCAAAAATGTGTTGAATATGTTGAACTAGGAGGGAAGGTTTCATAAAAGAAGGAAGGAAATAAGTATTTATGAAGTACCTACTATGTGTCAGACACTTTGCTAATCATGCAAGGTAGATAATATTATCCCCATTATACAGTTGAGGAAATTGAGGCAGCAGAGATTAAGTGACTCATTCAGGATAGAAACACAGTAAATCTGAGGTCAGATTTGACCTGAGGTCTTCTTTCCTCCAAGCCCAGCATTCTATACACTGCCCCTACCTGTCTGCCTGTAAAATCTAGGGTGCATTCTCCTGCCCCCTTCATATCTTGATTGTAATGACTCAAGTTCAGCAATGCACCATAACCCTGTGTGTTTTTTAAAATAATTTTGTTATAGACTTAATACTCAAATAAAAAGAATACTAAATTGAAACTCACATGAAACCACAAATTCTGAAATATTTACATTTTGATTAAATGGGAAATGCCCTAATATAAACATTATCAAAATAATAATTGATTTGCTTCATGACTCCTTCCAATTTCCTTTGTTTTGTGTACCTTGAATCACATCATCATAGTAAAGCTGGAATGATTCTTAGAAGTCATTTAGTTTAACCCTTCCATTTTACAGATGAGGAAAACTGAAGGGAAGGGTCAAGTTACTGGACCAGGTCACAAAGGTCCTCTAACTCCAAATCCAGCATTTTTTCCATTGCATCATGCTGCTTTAAAGTTTATTTCTTTTATAATTTTGAACATATACAATCAGTTCTAATATTCATATTGTTCTAATCCCACTCTCCTCATTTTGTATCTTTTCATATCTGACTATATTTTAAATTTTTTAACATTTGTAATTTTTTATGTGACCCTGGGTATACAGGTATATAGAATAAGTTTACAAATCAAACATTTAATGATAATAAATCATAAAGAAATTTATTTTAAAACAATTCTTTGGTATACATATAATTTTACCATTTATTAAAGATGAAAGCAAATTTGCATACTAATGAGATGGATGTGCTTATTTATTTTTACATAAAGAATTAAATCTTGCCAGAATGTTTGATAGATACTTCAAGAAGTAGAGCATCTTCAACACTTTTCAGAACTGATCAATATTTTGATTTTATAGAACCAAGGCTACAGTGAAGTCACATGAAACATGGCAAGCATTGCCAGAAATACCTCAGATTCATTACCCATTTGATTTTGAATTAATTTTTTGTCATTGCTCATCAGAAATCTTTTACTATTGCCAAATTTTTAGTGATCTCCACATTCAGTTATGCAACCCCATATGGGGTCACAACCCACAATATAAGAAGTGCTGAAAGAAGTGTTAGACTCTAGCGCAACTCCAAGCTAAAGAGAGATTACTTATAAATGGTGAGGTTCTCCAAATGATTCTATTTATAGATGATATCTTGGCGGTTGACTCAGTTCCAGGAGTACTGCAGAGCTTCTTGAAGGAGATTCATAAGCATTCAAAGAGTAATTAAATGAGGTAATATTTGTAAAGAACTTTGCAAACCTTAAAGC